GAAAAAATATACCGCCGTGGATGACCCGTGTCTACGGATGGAGATTATGGCTTCCGCTTTCAGACAATAGGCCTCGAAATCATGTATTGCCAAAACTTCCAAATCACGTCACGTGTTCACTTCTGAGCACCCCACCAATCTGGGAAAAGACTACAAATGTTGAATATAATTTTAAAATTCATGGTTCATTAATTATTTAGAAATTTCATTGATGTAATTTTTATAATTAATTTATGATTGAAAGTAATTTAATTTTCATTATATTTAATATAATTTTAAATTAATTTATAAATTTCACGATTTATTAATAATTCATTAATCTTAATTCGATAATAGTATAAATATTCTCCAGTAAAAATATATCAAAATTAATTTTTTAACAACTGAACATTCCAATTATTCTCCTCCTTGGTTATTTGTGATACATCATGTCAAAAATTACTTCTGTTTGGTCTTACAATAATACGCAGTTGCATGCAGATGGTAATAAGTAGAATTAATAAGGGAAAATAATATTAAAGTATTATTATATTTGTACTTATTTATAAAATTTTGTTAAAATTTATATTTATGTGAATAGTAATCTGAGCATTTTATATTTATATGGGATGAGTATATATATTTATATTCGAATTGTTTTTGTATTTTAATTGAATAAAATATGCTAAACTATCTTTTTTTAATGAACTAATAAAATAAAAGAATTGACTTTATAAAATTAAATTCATTACAAAAGAATAATACAATAAAAAATATGTACAACAATTAGCTCAATTAAAAAATTTAAAGACCTTTCAAACTTTAACTAAAATTAAAAAATATATATAGCTATATAATCATATTTATTTTTTATATACGTGTGGGTGTTGTCTGGAGTAGGTTGAAAATCTCATCCACACATTAAAAATTATTTATCGATAATTATCAAAATACATGTATGGGTAAAATCTTTGTCATTATTAAAACTTGTCAACGGTCAGGTTTAAGCCAATGTTTGAAATATTAAATTTATAAAACTGTTGGGCTAAAGAGTAATGTCAAACTTACGTTTTCTATTCCAATGTTTACAACTTATCCAAATTTCACTGCAATGTTACAACCTATCCAAATTTCAATGCAAGCAATTTATCTAAAATTTTAATGTAATGGTAGGTAATCAAACTATACATTAATGATTTGATCTATCCAATTTTTTACAACTTGTCGCTAACCAGTATTTTGTACATGAATATACAAACTAATTCAAATCAATAAGTATACAATAAAAATTTATATAACAATTAAAGAGTTCTAATGTTAAATGAATCAATTTACAATTTAAATATGTGACGGTGTGTGTGAAGTGTGAGAAATAAAATAAATTAAAATTGTACAATTACTTTCAAACAAAAACTACAAAAATTAATATGCTTTCATAATTTGAATTCACATTTATAAAATAATATCAACCACTAACACAAGAGAAGAAAATCTTCTTTAGTTGAACTAAGTGTTGAAGTCACATCATTCCTACACACCTATACTATATTGTAAACAAAAAACATTGAAATTAATAAATGAATCTAAATCAAAATAAGTTTAAACTAAATATAAAGTTGTTTTAGAGACCAACATGACTAACGATTATATATGTTAAGGATTAATATGACTATATTTATTAGCTTAGAGACTATTTTAGTGTACTCTTGTAATAGTGAAAACTAATATGGTAATTATCTTAAGAAATATTTTGTCTACCTATACATATTATGATTAGATATAATTAGTGTAGATTAAGGTAGCATTCATTACCGTTTGCTCATAATCACTGAAGTCTTATTGAACTCTACTACTTCCATAGTATGACTCACTTGTAAATATTGCAGGAATATTAAGTCCTAGCTCATTATGGTTAGTCTAATAATAGTAATTACTCATTAAGTCTTTCATACAAATATGAATTTTAACATCCTTAACTAATTGATACTTTGGATATTTGAACTTTTTACATAGACATCTCAATTTTTTCAATGTCAAGTATTGTTCTTGTGCACAAGCAAGTTCTATGAACTCAATAACTCCAGTCATAAACTTATCTATAACTCATCTTTATCAAGACCCACTGTGTTATCATCCATTTATGATGTTGAGGAATTTTACTTTTTCTTATTAACAAATAGGTAATCATAACTAAAAATATATAAGCTTATACAATCACTAACAAAATAAATTATCATGCAAATATATCATGTTTTCTCTTGTTTCCATATAAATGCACAGAACCCAATTGTTCTTATTAATATATCATATAAACAACATCAAACAAATCAAATAGTGAATACACAAACGAGGGCACTTGAAATTTTTCTTTAATAGGTTATAATATTTATATTGGTTGCACATTAAGTTTGTATTCTTATATCAGAATTAGTCTTGGTGATGAATGGAAATGGTGGTGGATATCTTACAAAAAATGCAAAATGATGGTTGTCTCCTAAACCTATCTTCTTCTATTGTATTAATAATTACTAGCTCATATTTTAAATAATTTCTTTATTCAATCATTTTTCTTATGTGAGACGGATGCTAAGGTCTAAGAAAACTAACAAATCTTCTTAAAAAAACAAATAGCATTTGAGTCCTCACTTGATAAAGAAACTTATTGAAAAGGAGTGTTTAAAAGAGTACGAATACTTATAAGATCAGCATAAGTTATGTTAATAAGAAAGATTGTGAGAAGGATCATAACTTGATCATGCATACTAAACTGCAGCATTGAATTAGCATACTAAATTTATATGCTAAGGAGCATAGAAATTTGCATTCATTGAATTAGCAAATAAAATAAAATAAAATTGCATTCATTGAAAAGCAAGAACCCAATAAGATTTGTTTTTTGAATTTGTAAACAGGCTCACCAAAATTTAACGTATAGCAACACTCCTATAAAGAAATTTTCAAATAAGAAAATGGCTTTTTGAGCATAAATTTGTCTCCACTGTAAACCTCAAATTTTCAACTTAATTCAATTTTACTTTTCATGTACATACTTATTCTACCAGCCACTTTTCTTGTTCAAAATTTCATTTTTTTACTTTAACTAATATTTATTATAAAATGAATTGTTTGGATTGTGTACTTCTGAAAGTAGTGGAGAAGATTGATTATACAGAGGTTAGGTTGTAGGTCAATCAGGGTATATGAGTGAGGCCATGTGCTATGTCAACTTGTTATAAATACAGAAGGAGAGAATATGTCCTAAAATGAAAAGTAAAAGGAAAAGTTAAAAATAAGTATTCTACTTCACACAATATTTTATCATATATTTTTCTATTTCTAAATTTTCAAGAAAAAAAAGTATGTTAATTCAATTCGTTAAATGATATGTAATTTTATTTTTTAGAATTTTAAATTAAGTATTTTTATTTTTTAAATTAAGAAAATTTGATTACTTCATCAATTTTATTATATCTATACCTCACAAATTCCCATTTTAAATTTAAAAGTTTTACAAAAAAAAAATATTAATTAAAACTGTTTAACATCTTGAATTTCAACAATTAATCAATTAAATTTCATCCAAATAAAAAAAATCTCATTTTTTTCCTTTTCAAATCTTAATCTCACACCCTGAAAATTCTTCCAACGTGATTGAGTTTTTACTATTTTTTTTAATTTCTAAACACTTAAAATTATTCCATATCCCTATTTCATCATATATTTACAGATATATTTGGATCAAAATAATAAAAACTTCGGTGTTTGAAATAGAAAATTCTATCGATATGCTAAATTTTCTTGATTTTTTTAAAATAAAAAAACTTAATTAACTTAGAACAAAGTGTGAGAATCAAAATTGCATGCAAACTAAATTATAGGAATAAAAAAATATAATTAAGGAAAACAATTTTCACATTATTTTTCTGCACATTATCCTACAGAGGTATGTGTCCAAGGGAAAATGAAAAAAGAAAGATAATGTTTGCTGCGGAAACTGTCTATTCGTTTGTTTTTATCTAACAAAAAAAGAAGAAGTTAAAATTGTGTGAAAATATCATGTGTAGATCTAACACTGTGTTTGTATTGAAAAAAATAATAGATAAAAAAAGACAAAAGGAGAGATGTGAATAAAAAAATATGTTAAAATATTGGATAAGATCGTTATATGAATTTTTTTTATTTATCCACAAATTGAATTCTAAAATTCCAAATGAATAACAATATTCTTATGTACTTCTATATATTAAATTTAAAATTTTGTTTTCTAAAAAATATTTTTCAGAATTATCTTAAACAAGACTATTTTTATGAACTATTCTCTTCTTCATTTCATCAAGTAACTTCTTTTCTTGCATTTGTTATTTAATTTTTTAAAATTTAATCTTCATTTGAATTTCATTTTTATAATTTATTACATAATTTTCAATTTTTTTTATCTAATTTAATTAATATATATTAAAAAATATATAACTTTTTAAGCTACAGAATTTATTAATTTTGAAAATAATCACATAATATTTTTTAAATGTTGATGTAAAAAAAATATTAATATTTGTATTGTTCATAAAAATTCATTAGTTTATTTTAATTGTTGATAACCCATGAGTTAATTACAATTTAACAACACCTATTGTTTACTTACCATTATGTCTTTAAAGAAATATTTTTTTAATATTTACGAATAAAATAAAAATTTTATTTAATATTTAAAAAATTATAAAATATCACAAATTGAATATATTAATAATGTCAAATAATATTATTTTTAATTAAAACTTACTGTTTAAAAGTACACATTTAAAAACCGTTAAACAAAACATATCTTTAACTCATTAATCAAACAAATAGACGTTATCAGTTGATAATTAATTCATCAATGCTATTCAAGTCTACTGTAAGCATAGTGTTGACAAAGAGTGCCATTGTTACACTGTTATGCAGCTAATCATGGAAAGTGACAGCAACTATCCCATTGGGATCCCAGCCTGCCTATATATCCACGCTATTTGTGTGGCTTGTGCGTTGCGGAAACCTTTCCATTGATCATTTCTTTCAAATTCCATCATTTGGCAACCCTACAAGTGTATGAACAAGTTTAATCAAGGGGAGATGATCTCTTCATCAAGTGGTCTAAGCATGGGAGAAGAGAAGAAATTGGAAATAGAGAAAGAAGTGGAAAGTGAGGTTCCAGAAACTGAATGGGAGGAGGGAAGTAGGGAAAGGGGAGTATGGAGAGAGCAAATTACGGTGAGAGGATTGGTGGCGAGCACCGTAATCGGCATCATGTACAGCATAATAGCCATGAAGCTCAACCTCACTGCAGGAATCGTTCCAAATTTCAACGTCTCTGCTGCTCTTCTTGGCTTCTTGTTTGTCCGAAGCTGGACCAAAGTGCTTCACAGGGCTGGTTATACATCCAAGCCCTTCACCCGCCAAGAGAACACCATCATACAGACCTGTGCTGTCTCGTGCTATAGCATTGCTGTTCATGGTTCTCCTACTCCCTCCCCATTATTATTTTATATATGTTTGCACAATAACCCATGAATTTAATCGTGTTTTGAACTGTAGGAGGATTTGCTTCTTATCTTTTGGGATTGAATAAGAAAACTTACGAGCTTTCTGGAGTGGGAGCTGACGGTAACAATCCAAATACTGTTAGAGAGCCTGGATTTGGGTGGATGACTGGCTTCCTCTTTGTAGTTTGCTTTGTTGGCCTCTTCATCTTGATTCCCCTCAGAAAGGTACTCTACTTTTTTTTATCTTTTGTCGTACGTTTTATATTTTAGGCCTTCGATGTCTCATCCATCGCTCAAATCCTATCTATACATGATGCATCCCATGTGTGCAACATGTGGAGGTCTTTCCTCGCGGTATAAATAGTCAACAAAGAGAGAGAAAAAGTGTCGGATACATAAAACATGTAGATTTGCATGTTCTTATTTAATTAATTGGAAATTTTCTACCTCTCCCTATTCTCTCCCTCCCATCTTTTTACTTATAAGGAATTGAACATCGATCTCAGAAAATTTAATTAGAATATGTTGGAAATTTGCACGACACAAAATGGTCTATATATATATATATAGACATTCCCTTGGTCTCAAGCAAACACTAGGCACTAAGCATGAAAATCAGCAGATTAATAATGGAAGAAAGTTTATTCAGCAGCATAATATATCATATTGATCTAAGCTTCTTCTCGAACAGATCATGATAGTTGACCTCAAATTGACGTTTCCTAGTGGCTTGGCAACAGCGGTTCTCATCAATGGTTTCCATACGCAGGGGGACAGAACGGCCAAGTAAAATTCTTTTTCTTTTCTTTTTCTCTCATCCAATATGTTATATATATATAGGTGAAAGCTGCATAATAATTAGTCATGTCTCAAAATTATTTTGAATTAATTTCAGGAAGCAAGTTCGCGGGTTCTTGAAGTATTTTTCTGTGAGTTTCTTGTGGGGTTTTTTTAAGTGGTTCTTCTCAGGGACACAGGGCTGCGGATTTGCACAGTTCCCTACATTTGGATTGCAAGCGTGGAAGCAAACGTAAGGAATGAATATTAACTGCTTCTTGGGAGTGGGTGGTTTCTAATTCAATTTTATAATCACTGAATTTGTTTATGGTTTGAATTTGCAGATTCTATTTCGATTTTAACATGACATACGTGGGAGCAGGGATGATTTGCCCCCACCTCGTGAATTTGTCTTTACTACTCGGAGCCGTTCTCTCGTTTGGGGTTATATGGCCTCTCATCGATCAACGTAAAGGAGATTGGTTTCCTAACAATTTAGATGAGACTAATATGAAGGCGTTGTACGGCTACAAGGTCTTTCTAACGGTTTCTCTCATCCTCGGTGATGGCTTAGACAACTTCCTCAAGATTCTTCTTTTCTCGATCCTTAGCGTAGTTGAGAAAATTAAGAACTCCGATAACCAAACAATTGGTAAGACGAGTTCCCACTTTCGTTGCGTTGATTGTTACCATTCCTCCTCTGTTTATACTGTTTTTTTTCTTGCACTCCTTTCTCATTCTTTACTTCTTTTATCTCTTTTTATTTATTACATTAGCCCCGTTTAAATAAACTTATAGATAAATATTTATAAAATTAATTAAGTTAAATCATGAATATTTTTTTTAAGTTAAAATTAACTTCTACTACAATTTTAAAAAAATTAAATACAAGAACTTTTAAAATAAATGTAGAAAAATAAATTAATTTTAATTTACAGAAGAAATTTGATTAATTTTACTATTTAATTATTGACTAGTTATATAAGAGGTTTATAAGTAATCATTTCATATTTACTTTCGATTCTCATGTTCTTTATATCTCTCTTTGTTTTTGTTATAGCATCATCAATCACATTTCTCACTTTATTTAGGGTCATTTGATGGTTGCAGCAACAGGTGATGAGCAGCAAGCTGGAGAACTCAAACAAAAGGAAGTCTTCTTGAGGGAAAACATTCCCATGTGGATCGGAATGGCTGGCTACATTGTTTTGGCCATCATTTCCATAATTGTAATCCCACTAATGTTTCCTCAGCTGAAATGGTTCTACGTCGTGGTTGCTTATGTTTTAGCCCCATCCCTAGCATTTTGTAATGCCTACGGAACAGGCCTCACTGACATGAACATGGCACACAACTACGGCAAAGTTGCACTTTTCGTGCTTGCGGCTATAAGCGGAAGAGACAACGGCGTAGTGGCAGGACTCGTAGGTTGCGGTCTGGTTAAATCTGTGGTCTCAGTGGCTTGCACTCTGATGCACGATTTCAAAACCGCATATTACACGTGCACCTCTCCGAGAGCCATGTTCATATGCCAAGCAATTGGCACTGCATTGGGTTGTATCATAGCTCCCTTGAGCTTCTTCCTTTACTACAAGGCATTCGACGTTGGAAACCCACACGGGGAATTCAAAGCTCCTTACGCACTAATATACCGAAACATGGCGATTTTAGGCGTTGAGGGTTTCTCGGCATTGCCCCAACATTGCTTGCAACTCTGTTATGGGTTCTTTGCTTTTGCGGTGGCGGTGAACTTGGTGAGGGACCTTGGCCCCAAAAGGATTGGGAAGTGGATGCCTTTGCCGATGGTAGTGGCAATACCTTTTCTGGTTGGTGCCTACTTTGCGATTGATATGTGCTTAGGGAGTTTGGTGGTTTATGTGTGGCACAAACTTAACACAAAGAAGGCAGAGGCCATGATTCCTGCAACTGCCTCTGGACTTATTTGTGGGGAAGGGTTGTGGACTCTCCCTGCTTCCATTCTTGCTCTTGCCAAAATTAATCCTCCTATTTGCATGAACTTTTTTGCTTCCTAGAACAATTAATCACATAGTTAGTGCATGTGCAATAGGATTTATCAGGTGCACTAGGCATAGAAAATTTTTATTATTGTTTACTAAATTTTCCTTTTAGATAAATTAAGTTTAATCTGTTGTTCATCTTGCAATGCTTTGTTTGTAAGTTGATTTACAACGGTATTGCATGAAAAGACTATTAAAAATTATCTTAGGTTGTTGGAACTTATTAAAAATGGAGGGAAAGGATAAAAGTAGAAGAATTTTAGAAGTTTTCACAAACTCCCTCTCATCTGTAATCTCATTTTAAGTTTAATCAGGTAATTTGACTAAATCTTTTTACAAAAGTATTATCATCCAAATAAAGGAAGGGTTTATTTGTTATTTTTTCTCCTTCCCTTCTGTTCCTTTGAATATTTCTCTCTCTCTCTCTCCCCACTTCAAACTCTCACGCAGGTCCCTTATCTAGTTTGAACTTTGAAGTTATTTAATATACTTGTGTAAGAAATCCGATGCTAAATATAAATACAATAAAAATTGAAAACTTGTGTATATTTATTAATTAGTTTGCTATTATAATATTATGTATGAGTTACTTTAGTGTTTACTGAAAAAAAAAAAAAATCACACACACACACAAATATTTATTAGTTCCCAAAAATATGACGTGAGTATTAGGGCAGTTGTGTTCTTTAACTCTATAAGTAGTGGATTAATATAAACCCTCATCCTCTATGTATGGTGATTGACACATATCTTCACATGAAAGTCTTGTTATATTTTTATCATGTTTAGGACGTTGTATAAAAAGATTATATCTAACCTCAAAATATTTTTGTGTTTATTTAGTTTTAACTAGAATAAAACAGATTTTAATAAAACTAATTTAGAATTATTAAATATATTGTTAAGATACATACATATACTAATTTAAATTACATGTTTTTACTTGAATACATAACTTTTTTTAAAAAAACATTCAATAATTATTTTTTCAACATTTTAAACGACCACGCTTTATTGCTAAAACAACGAGATTTTGTTGAAATTAAACAATCGCTGTACCACATAAGACATACAATAGCACTTCCACAGTATCTCGAATGCTCTCTTACTGTATTGCATAATCAAGGGTGGAATATTTTTTATTTCTTTGATTGACTGTTTCTGTACAAAAATGAAGGGGGGAATATGCCTGGTTATCATAAGTGCTCTAGAGATCTTGAGTTAACCTCATATAAACGGCTCTACTTGACATTTATATAGATGATAAAAATTTTATAAGATGTATATATATATATATATATATATATATATATATATATATATACACATCACTCATAAATAAATGATATAAAATTCATTATAAACTTTAAAACTTAACATCTTTTTCTATCCAATCTAACACTTCTCATAAATGAAGAAAAAAATTATTAGTGTTAGTAGAATTAACAATGACATGTTATTACCTATATAGACCTTCAAAATTTGCTAAAATTTTTTTCAATCACTCAGCCTTGTTACAAGCAATAAACTCTAACTTCATAGTCGATTTGCAATAATAGTTGTTTGTTTGATCTTCACGTAACAACATCACCTCAACGTGTAAATAAATAATCACTAGTGGATTTTGTCTCCTTTGAATCTGAGATCCAATTTGAATCACCGTATCCTTCCAATATAGTAGGAAATCCACTATATAAAATATACTTCATGATACCTCTCAAAGTCTAATTAACATAGTCTAATGCTCATTTTTGGGATTATGTAAGTACTTACTCAATCTACCCACAATATATGTTATGTTAGGTTGAAGAAAATTCATTAAATGTAATAACTCCCAATAATTTAAGTATATTTAAACTGAGCACATGATCTCCTTTGTTTTTCTTTAATTGATTGTTACCATTGTAACTGGTACTCACAAGTATAGTTTCAAAGTATCCAAACTTCTTAAGAAGTTTCTTAACATAGTGTTTTTGAGATTGCATTCTACTATCATCATTCCTTATGATTTTAACACAAAAAATTAGGCCTGCTTCACTCATATCTTTCATATCAAAATTAGAGGCAAGATATCTTTTTGGATTATAAACTATATCTTCACAGGCTCAAAAAATAAGCATAACATCTACATATAAATAAATAATAACATATTCACTATTTTTCTCTTTTACACACACATTTATCAACTTCAATTGAGGAAAAACTATGACTTATCAAAACCATATCAAACTTTTCATGCCATTATTTTGGTACATGTTTCAATCCATAAAAATATTTGAAAAGTTTGCAAACTTTATTTACTTGTCTAGAACCACATAACCTTCAAGTTGAAGCATATAAATTTCTTCTAAATCACCATTTAGAAATGCAATTTTTGTTTTGTGTATATTTCAAAAATATTTTTAATTTCTCATATTTAAGCTTCTAAATAAGCTAGTAGAAAAAATGTGCTCTAAAAATTTAGCATTTTTAGTCTCAATAATATAATTACAATCAAGTAAATAGTACAACAAGAAATGTATATGTAGCACTATGTTCAACATACCCAATAAACTTGCAATAAAAAGTTTTAGAATCTATTTTTTTTTTCTCTTTTTAGGGTTAGTGACATAACTTTAGCTAAATATCCTACACTTTAACATAACTTAAATTAGGCTTATAAACTTTCCATATCATATAGGGATTTTACCTAGAACTTTTTCAAGAAATCCTACTCTTTATATGATAGGTAAATAATAAGGCTTAACTCCAAAGATTGTAAGGAACAGAAGAATTAATTAGCATAATATTCATCATTTCTTTTAGGGTCTTGTTTTTCCTTTATGATATTCTATTAGATTCCAGTGAATAGGGAGGAGTTATTTCATGTATTATATCTTCTTTTTCACAAAACTCATTTGAAAAAAAAAACATATTTACCACTTTGATCTAATCCTTTTAATCTTTTTATTTAATTAATTTTCTACTTCAACTTTATATATTAAAAACATCTTAAAAGTCTTATTATTACTTTAAATTAAATATACTTTGGTATATCTAGAAAATTTGTCTATAAAAGCTATATAATATTATTTATCACCTCTAGTTACTGTTTGCTTTAAATCTCCTAGATATGTGTGAATTAAACTAAGCAATTCAAATTCAAGTTGTATAGAAAAATAAGATTTTTTTTTATAATTTTACTTTCAATACATATGTCACATTTATTAAAATAGATTTTTAATTCTAAAAATTAAAACATTTTCTTGCATTTTTTTTTCACATACGAAACATTGATGTGTCCTAATTTAGCATACCACAAATTAAAAGAGTCAACAAAATAAATAGAAGAAACAATCTTATTAATAATTTCAAAAATAGTCAATACAAAAAAGTCATTAATCGCAATATCTCTTGCCCACGCATAATTATTTTTTGTCATCATTATTTTGTCAAATTCTAATAAAAATTAGCTCTAATGCTCAGTACAAGAAGTACATTATTGAGTGTCAAAGTCTTTCTAGATGTGAGCTTAAGAAGAATTTTTCCTTTCCCAACTACATTAGCTGTTTGAGAATCACTAAGATTCAGATGTTCTTTTCCTTCTCTTATATTAGTATAAGAGGAAAAAGCACTTCCATTAACATAAATATGTCTGGTAAACTGAAAGTCTACCACCCATTTACTCACATTGGCTACAATAAAGGCTTGATAAACAATTACAACTATCACATTATCTCTTCCTGCGATGTTAGCTTTGGACTTAGGAGGATTGTCATTCCTTTTCCTTTCTCTCTCTCTCTCTCTCTCTCTCTATATATATATATATATATATGGGGCAGGATTTTCTTATACTGGTATAAGTCTAAAAATTCTTACACTCAATATGAGCCTTTCATTTAACTTAAATTTAACAGGTTATAATTTTTTTACTTTACCAGCCATTAGATTTAAGTTAAATAAAAGGCTCAGATTGAGTGTAACAGTTTTTAAACTTACACCGGTGTAAGAAGATTCATCCCTTATATATATATATATATATATATATATATATATATATATATATATATATATATATATATATATTAGTATATGATGACCTGTCTTTCCACAAACATAACATGTTTCTTTATTTTTGTAAGAAGTAGGTTTAGATGGCCTAAGAATGTGATAAAAAATAGACTTCTATTTTCGTACCTCTGTTCTAGAGAGTTTTTATTTTGTAGTAAGTTTGCTCTAAATGCCATGACGTTTTAGCTTTAGCAACCCTTAACTCCTTTTGACTAGTATTTTCAATTATTATGAGTTATGAGGTCTACAAGAGAGAATTCTTATGTTTGTGTTCAACTTGCTATTTATAATCATTTCATATGTTTTTAGACTGAACGCATTATGAAAGAACCTTGTTTTCAGTTTGTACTTTGAGCTTCTGGAATACGATATTCTTGTTAATAAAGACTTTAGAGGGCATAGTAGAATGAAAAATTAATAAAATAAAAAATATGAACATGAATAAATTTCGTTTAAATAACCAAATATAAGAAATAAGTATTTAGAAAGTTAGATTATTTATAATTTAAAATTTGAGAGTGAGTGTTTGGTGTTGGTAGCAAGAAGATGAAATTTTAAGTATATGAAGGAAAAAAACGATAAGTAGTATTGTACAATACACGTGGTATAAAATAATAAAATTTTTTAGCAGAGTTAAGGTTCTTAACAAAAAAAAAAAGACTTATTTAAAATTTTTGTAAAACTTAGAGGAATAAAGTAAATAAAAAAATTAAAGAATAAAATTAAAATCTACCTTAAAATTAAAGGACTAAAATACGAATTTTATCTTAAATTTTATTTTTTAAAAGAAAAAAATAATTAATTTGGCAGTAATTCATAAACAGGATGATGAGTAAATCGACTGATTTATACTAGAACTAGACATTATGGCCCAAACTCGTGTGTATAGCTATTTCTTTCGCTAAACTTGTTTACGTGTAATGTGCACAAATAACCAAAACGTAAGTTAAATTGACAAAAGAAACAATGTTTTCTATTGATATTCAATAATTTTAAATTGAACTCTCATAATAGTTAGATATAAATATTTAATAATTTTAATTTATAAATATATTAACATTATTCATTCTTAATTGACATATTTTACTTTTTGATTTGTTTATATTACTTATCACATTTATTAATTTTTAAATAGACTTGTTTTATTTCTGACAAGAACAATTTTTCTTTTCTTTCGATGAATTTTGATAAATCATCGCTCCGAATTTCTAGAAGCTCATTAGTTTCACAATTTTCCAACCCGAAACAAAAGCTGAAAGAACAATATTCCGTAGATGTCGACGGAAAGACCACATTCAATTCTCTTCACCAGATCTTGATGTTAATAAGCAACGTAGATAGAGAAGAAAACAAGAAATAGGACTAAGTCTTGATCGCTAAAACAAGGATAGAATTAATAATTTAATCTTCTAATTTAAATGTAAGTTTTAATTAATTCTTTTGTTATTGTAACATAAAGAGTTAATGGATTGGTGTAAAACT